AAAGCTTAAGACAGGAGAGGTTCCCCCCACGTTGGGTACATACACTATTACTGGTGCCTACATTTTAAATTTTTTGGTTAATTTTGAAATATAATGAAGTGGCGGCACCTTTTTCTAATCCATTTTCATTAATGAACTCTAATAGGTTTTTCATTTCTCTAATCTTTCGTTTGAGCTGAATGAGTATATATAACTACAAATATAACTGAAATGTAGACTAAATGTTTTCCACTTTGATATGATGAGAAGGAAATAGAGTACTTTGCTTTATTTGATATGTATTGGAAAGCCCAACCATTAGGCAATGTTTCTAAATCACCTTAATTTATTTCTCTGATTAATCTAGAAAAAGCAGCAGCTTGAAAGTGATGTGTGTATATATTCATATCTGTTATTATTGTGTTTGTTCAAATGGATTTTTATTGTCTAGTTTATATTGTTTGCTCCTCCCTCATACCCAACCCAGTTACTGAAAATCTAATTTTCTAATGACGTCATTATCTCTGTAGCAGCCGGTGTTGATAAAGGATTCTAAACATCCAGTAGGTCAGAAGCAGCAGCAAATGAATTTAGAAGAAACAGAAATCTTGTGTATGCTTTCTTTTCTTTTTAGGTATGAGACGTGGAAGTGATTTTTAAACCGCATCATGATAGCATTTAGAGCAGTGGTTCTCAGCTTTGGCTGCACATGAGAATCACCTGGGAATCTTTTTAAAATCCTGATTTCCGGGCCTCATCCTCCGAAAATTCTGTTTCTTTATTACTAATGTTGTGGCCCCACCCCATAACAAAGAAACAGAATTTCCGGAGGATGGGGCCCAGAAATCAGGATTTTAAAAAGATTCCCAGGTGATTCTAATGTGCAGCCAAGGTTGAGAACCACTGATTTAGAGTATTTATACAACATCCAGAATTACTCTGTGGATTTTCTGCGTCTTTAAAATACAGTTCTTATCTATTGGTGTTTTTGAGAGTTGTGGAGGGGGTCGTGGAGAACCTGCCACCTCCTCTAACCTCTCACCTCGTCCTTGTTCTTGGCCTGTCTTCACCTCTGTTCTCTGTTTGTCTCCTCTGTTCTATTGAGCTCTTCTCAGTATTGCAACTCCAGTGAGAAACTGATGTGATAGATGCTGTATCTGTTCATGGTCCTGTGATGATCGTTGGAGTAGTGGTTGGAATTCTCAGATTACAGACATCCTTTGTTTTCTGAAAGACATGACGTGTTACACTAGTAAAAGGGTTTTGTGGGTCGCTTACAATTTTTAAAAAATCTCTCTCTGATGCTTCACTTGTAGGATTAAAAAACACACAAAACACCTAACTAATGAACAGCTATTTAATGCCAATTTAAAATGCTTCCATTGCCCTGACTGGTTTTCTCTGTGGTTAGAGTGTTGGTCTGTGGACTGAAGGGACTCAGTTTTGATTCCAGGTCAAGGGCACTTTCCTTGGTTTCAGATTCCCCAGCCCCCAAAGGGGCATGTAGGGGAGGCATCCAATCCATGTATCTCTCTCATGTCGATGTTTTCTCTCCCCCTCCTCCCTCCCTTCCACTGTCTCTAGAAATCAATGGAAAAAATATACTCGGGTGAGGATCAAGAAAAAAAGACATAAAATGCTTCCTTTAGAAAGGTTTTCAACTATCTGAATAATGTAGGAATAACTTGGCATTGTTTAGTTTGGTGAATCCTATAATGAATCCTGTAATATTTAAAATGACATCGCATGCACCCATTCTTAATGAAATTAAATTATCATGGAAATATTTCCATCACTGACTCCTACCCTAAGCCTGTTTTCTTTCTTTTCCAGTTCCCTGAAAGCTTTCCTCCAGCCATTGGGTTATTGCTGCCACCTAATGTCACAAAATAAAATTGCTATTGGTTTGCCTTTTCCAAGAGATTTGCACAATTGTGCGGTTTATGGAAATAACTATTTGAGAGCAACAGATGGTTTTCCTCTATATCTTAAATAATAGCACTCTGAAGTGGTTACAGCCTCTTTGGAGAGAAGGTGGGAGGCGTATATCTCACCAGCAAAGAGTGCAACCAATAAAGCATAAAGGGATTTAAGAGCCCTAATCTCTAGTATGGAACAGCGATTTTCAACCTTTTCACCCCATGGCACACAAATTAACTAAAATTCTGCGGCACACCAAGAATATATTTTTTTGCTGACCGAACAAAAATAGGTATGCTTTTTATTCATTCACACCAGACATCTATTGTTGTGCTGGCTGTTATCACTTTGTTGTTGTTGTTGTTAATCCTCACCCGAGGATATTTTACCCCCCTCCATTCCCCACTGATTTTTAGAGATAGTGGAAGGGGTGGTGGAGAGAGAGAGAGAGAGAAATATCAACGTGAGAGAATTGATTGGTTGCTTTGTGCAGGTGTCCTGACTGGAGCCTGCAATGCAAGTGCATGCCCTTGACCAGAAATTGAACCCTTGATGCTTTGGTCTGGTCCATGGGAAGAACTGGCCAGGGCCATTTTTTATGTTTTTGGTGTTTTTTTTTCTTTTTTTGACAATTTAAGGGAAAAGAGGCCAGTGCCACTTACTAAATAGTCAGGTATTGCATGTTTTAAAAATTCTTTCAGCACACCAGTTGAAAATTGCTGCTAGGGACCTGTTGCCAATCTGACATTGGCAGGTTCGTCCCCTCATAAAATATGGCTCAGTGTTCTCAAAGATCTGTTCCCACTTTATCTTTTTTTTCTGTGTGTATTTTTAGTTGTGAAAGTATAGCCCTTATGCATGATACTGTTTATTTATTTGGGCAGAAGTTCTCCATGTTGACTGGGTTTTCTTTTAGAGCTGTGTTAAGTAGATGTTCAGGTTTTCATTGTTTGAGTAGAAAGTTTTGATAGCTTTCCTTTGCTCAGTTAGCAGAGACGTATCTGAAGACTTTCTATCATTAGTGTAACCTTAACCAGAATAACACTTCCCACTGGCTTAGTTATTTATTTGTGCGCTTCCTTAGCTGGACTCTGTACATGTCGCAAAGATTGCAAAGTCAACTGTGCTGCTTGCAAAATCCTAGACTTTTAAAAAAAACCTAATCTGGGTCTTAAATGATTTATAATTATACTACTCACTTTTCTTCAGTGTTCTGAAGTAAAGCATTAATGTTCCCATGGGCTAGGGCCAGGATTCTGTTGTCTTAAACTGACTTTGTAAAGACTATTTTATGTGGAGCATTTTAAGAGATATTTTGGGTGTTGCTGTTTCTCTTAGTCATGCTGTAAATAAGTTATTCATCCTTTCTAATTCCGAAGATGGTTAAAGCAAAGTCCAGTGAGTATAAAGTCTCACCTTCAACTAGTTTGGGCTTAATTTTAACAGCTCTTTTATAGAATTGAATCCCAGAACCCCTGGTGGGTAGAGAACCTATTGAATAAAATAAAAATGGATTTAGACTTGCTGTTATTAATTATGTGTAGGTACTATGCCTATTCAAATGGGCAAGAATCCTAATTAAATACAGTTTACATTGTCATTATCCTTTGCTTTCAGATTTTCAGACAGGTTTCAGCGAGCTTATTCAGGCCATGCTGACCAAATTGTGCAAGTAAAATCTTGAGACTCACAGCCTCAAGTGACTGGCTTACTGCTAAATATAGAACCCTTATTGAGTTCCTTTGAGCTACTAATTTTGTTAGTCTATTGAAAAAGTTACTATTACTATTATCGGGTTTATCAGGCACAATTCCTTATGAGCTTTAGCAGACCAATCATAACTTCATTATCTATTTTGCTACTGAAACATTTCTTTTAATACTTCACAGTTTTATTAAACATCGCTATCAGATTTCTGTTTATTCTCCAATTATTACTGATTTTTTTTCTGAACTGAGACTGGATGAAGGCATATGATGGTTTTAATGTAGTGGTTAAGGGCCTAGCCCTAGCCTCTGAAGTTAAATTTCCTGAGTTTGAATTCCTTCTCTCTGATCTTGGGTGAGTAATTTACCTGCTGTGAACTTCAGTTTTCTAATATGTACAAGGGAGGTAATGTAGTTGTTGTGATGATTAAATACAGATAGATAGATAATCCATTTCACTATTTATTTGGTTAAAATAAATTCTAAGATATTGGTATGATTCCTGTAAATACTCCTTATTCTGAGTTTGTCTTTGTCTTTCCAGGGCTAAGGAAACTAAAGGATATCTGAGTGTTAATCATGTACCTAATTATTTATGCTTATTCATAGCTTCTCAATTGTCTTATAGCTCCAATCTTAGGTAGGTGGTTGAGGAGTAGGAATACAGGAAGACTGAGGCATAACTTCAAGGCCTATGGGCTAGTAGGCAAGGATGGTTTGCTGGAGACATTTGACCCACTCTCTTGGCCTCCACAGAGAAGCCTTCCCAGATAAGCTCAGACACTCCAGGTATAGACTCCTATAACACTGTACTCTGTAATGAAATAATTGTTTTAATTCTTTTTGTGTAGTGCCTTTCTCTTCCTGCTCGATTGTATGTTCCATGATGCCAGAAACTGACTTTTCCTTCCGGTTTTGTTGCATCATTAAGTGAGCTCTCATTTCAGAGTTGAAGAAACAGATGCCTATCATATGTGACTTATCCCAAGTCACACATTTTCTGAAATAGTTATAGGTAGAACTCAAGTTTCCAGTCTCCCTTATTACAGTACTCTCTGCTCTTTCTACTGTATTATGAAAATTTAAGCTCTAGAAAGGGGTTGAACAATATCTACAAATAACTGTTACAGAGGCAGAATAGACATACTCCACGGGGTTATGGAAATTGGAAGGTGAACATAAGTTCTTTTATCAGGAGCTGGGTGGTAGGTACAAAAAGGCTTCATGACAGAGGAGACTCTTGAACTGTACACACATGGATACATTTTTGGATAGAAAGTTGTGGAAAAGGTCACTCCAACCATAAATAGTATTATTGAAACTTTTAATCCCAATATTTTTAAAAAATCTATAAAATATATATGTTAGCAGGCTAACAATCTTGTCTTATTTCAGTGAACAACGTGGGAATATCATATGAGTATCCTGAATACTTTTTGGAAATTCCTGACTTGGACAATGTAAGTCTTTCTTTGTATATTATGATAACAAAAGGAATACATGCGAGTATTGGGAAGGCAGTGTGGTAAAAGGGCTCAGACTGTGAGCCCTGGAGTCCAGCTGCCTGAGGTTCAATCCTTGGCGCTTCTATTTGTTACCTGAGTTACTCTGAGGGTGATCTCCACCATACTTAGTGTCCGGTTCCTCGCCATACAATAGACTTCATAAAGATGTTAGAAGGATTAAATGAGAAAATATTTATAACCCCGTTTGTACAGTACCAGGGGCAATAATAGCTCTAGTTTTATTATATCATTATATTATATAATATTATTAATAATATAATGTCTATTATATTATTATAATTTTTATTATATAGCTTTGTTTTAAGTATTAGGATTCTGAACACCAATTATAAATCATAAAGTTGTTAATAGACAACAATATTCTAGTGATTCAGGTAGACTAGCTCTACCAAAATGAAAGCTGTGTCCTTGATACATGCATAATTCTTTAATAAAGACTGAAAGAGGGTATCATTGAAGGAACATGTGAAATTTAAAAAAAAAATTGTTGAAAACCTTAGTTTCAATCATTTCTCCTTTTTGTATTAGCAGAGAGGAAATTACAAATGGTTCATATTTACTTTAGATTAAGTTTATCTTTTTGCTTTCAGTTTTTCCTTGCACAGATACCTTTAGTGATGCACACTAAAACTCTTGATTTAGTTGTCATGGAGTTAATGACATCTGAAGTACAGCCCCTCTTTATTGTACTATTGGTGGGGTCCATGCGGTTACCATCTCTGCAGCACAGTCAGGTAGTTCAGGTATGAAAGGTTTGGCTCACAGCAGGAGGTGAGTGGTGTGGGGCAGCTTTGGTGCCCTGGGGTAACTTAAGGTCTTGGATTTTGCAGATTAGCATGAATTGGTACTTTTGGTAGAAAAGTACTATAACACTGAGAGTAAAATAAAATCTATCTCTCCATCCCAACTCCTGTCATTTCCCAAGACCTCTACTATACCCGGGGAAACTTTCAGTGCATCTCCAGATCATTCATATCACATGTGTATTATGTGGTCATGTCCATGATCTATATAAAATAATCAATATGTTTTTTTGCAGACCATCAAGAAAATGTTAAATGTTAACATTCTTTCTGTTTGTAAGGTAAGCAGCTTCTCACCCTTTTTGGTCTTTTTTGTTTAAGAACACTGACATAACCAGCTTGTTCATTTCAGTCAACTCTCCTTTTGATGTAAGTATGTTTTCCAGATGAAAGTGGTCTATTTTCTTATGTCTTCAGGAAGTAAAAAGAACTGAATACCAAACAGGTATCTGTATAGTTTTGCTCTTTAACAATGAGACATTAATTAAATGCCTCCATTATATGCAACCCTATGGTAGGCCCAGGGACCACACAATCTAACTTAGTCTGAAGATTGATTTTTACAAAGTTTTCATCTAGATGCAAGCCATCACTGGTAAATTGTTTCCCTTTTGTATTTTCTGTAATACAGGTAAGTTGATGAGTTAAATATTGTGGTAAAGTATTGTATGGGAAGTATGGCACTATAAAGAATGATTTTTCCTAGCCACATGTAAAAACAACTCAAGTTTCTAGTTGCTAGGCATGCGTTAAAGCCTTGTCACTTGTATATGCTGACCAAAGACACCATAGCTAATATATGCTAAAGGGAAGACCAGCTATCAAATCTAAAATCAAATAAAAAGGAAAACATATTTAAAAAAATAATAAGTTAAAATTATGTGTATGTTTCATAATATAGTGTAATGAGTTAATGACGAAAAATATGTTCGAATGTTTAAATTTTATTTTATAGAATTGATACTAGCTACAAATTAATCTCCTGATAATTTTAATCCCTCTGTCAAATAAACGATACAAAACTTTATACTAGACACATTAGTATTTTCTCCTGCTTGTCAGAACTGAACTGAACTGGTGTATACACTTGTAGTATAAAACCCTGGCCTTCTCGGTCTCCCAAAACATGTGTTTTTGGCTGGCAGTATACAGAACACTAATGATAAAAGGCTTAGGTCCTGACCTTGATCTGTGAGAACCAGTCAGCTTGCTGTGCTCCTTGGCCACACACTGCATCCTTCAAGCAGCATCTGACCACAGATCAGCTTGTGCGGTCGGTGGTGGCCACCTCATGTCTCTGCTTAAAGATGAGCAGTCAGGGGGGAAATGTGGAGAAAGCAGCTCAGATCCAACAGCACTGTAGAGCACCTTTCAGTTTGTTCAAAATAATGATGACATAAAAACGAACCACCAGTCCTAATATCTTGACAAATTATAAAATGCTTCTCCTGCCTCTTCATTATTCCTCTTCCATTTTCTCTTTTTACACTGGCAAATATGCTTCTTCCCATGAAATGAGTTAGTGGAGCCAATGCTAAATTATTAAACATACCATATCCTATTATATTGTTGACTAGAGGCTCAGTGCACGAAATTCGTGCATGGGTAAGGTCCCTAGGCCTGGCCTGCAATCAGGGCTGATCATGGGCCTTCCAGTTGCCGGCCCAGGCCTTCCTTCATTCCGTGCCACCCCCTGGTGGTCAGCACATGTCATAGTGAGCGATTGAACTCCTGGCCTCTCTGTCGAATTCCCGAGGAGACACTTTGCATATTACCCTTATATATATACATAGATGGGAAGGATCACAAGCAGAACTGGATAAATGCTTAACATTTTTGTATGTAAACTTGTTTTTTTGCAAATCAAATCTCACGACACTCAGGGCATTTGCTATTTAAAACCCTTCTTCATTAAGCCAAATAATCATTCTTTATCTTTAGTGTAAGTATGAATTTTCCTGTACCTTAGTGATGCACACTTTATTGGAAAAACCATTTAAAACTCTTGATTTAGTTGTCATGGAGTTAATGACATCTGAAGTACAGCCCCTCTTTATTGTACTATTGGTGGGGTCCATGCGGTTACCATCTCTGCAGCACAGACAGGTAGTTCAGGTATGAAAGGTTTGGCTCACAGCAGGAGGTGAGTGGTGTGGGGCAGCTAACCTGAAGGCCAGAAAAGTAAGTTAAGACATGATTGTGCAGCAAAGCTGAGTGGTGTACTCAAAAGAATAGAGAGCCACTGGAAGCTGAAAAGTAGAAATAGGTGTGATCTGATCTACGTTTCAGAAAGACCGGTCTAGTGGCAGAGGGACATGGCAATACATATGTTACAGTACATGTGTTTGTCTTGCTTATACTGAGAAAAGGGCATTGGCCTTGATGAAGCTTTGTGTGTGGCCTCCTGGATTTAGTGCTCTTTCATGCTGCTGTCATCTGTCCTGTGGTATATTTTGATGAATTGTGCCTATTGTCCTTTTGTTGACTGTGTTATGTTGCCAGGGCGAGGGCTGCATTTTCAGTAGGAATGGTTGTTTGGTGCCCTGGGGTAACTTAAAACAAGATGAGAATTGGTCTGGCTCTAGAATCTTACAAGATTTTATGGTGGCTGGACATCAGGGGAACTGGGGCATGGATGTCTGCAGCCTAAAGCCACAATAAAACATCAAAAAGGTTTATATAAGAAAGAGAACAACCTCTTCTCACCATCAGTGATGGTCAAAGTATTATCTCCTTACCAAACCACGATAGGGGTTGACTGGCTGCAAAGCATGCCAGGAATTTGGAGATGTTTGCTGGTAGGGCCACAGCATCTTTTAAGTTTGGTGCTATGCCTTCACATTGAATGACCTGGCTTTACATTCCTTCAGGTCTAGGATTATTGCTTGGTCCAGGTCCTATATGAGTAGGTCAGATAAAGTAAAAATCACTTAAGTGTCATATTCCAGCAGAAGAATAATAAAAATGAAATATCCTGACCAGCCGAAACCGGTTTGGCTCGGTGGATAGAGCGTCAGCCTGCGGACTGGAGGGTCCCAGGTTCGATTCCGGTCAGGGGCATGTGCCTGGGTTGCGGGCATATCCCCAGTGGGAGATGTGCAGGAGGCAGTTGATCGATGTTTCTCTCTCATCGATGTTTCTAACTCTCTATCTCTCTCCCTTCCTCTCTGTAAAAAATCAATAAAATATATTTAAAAAAAAAAAAAAAAAAAAGAAATATCCTGACCAAAGGAATTAGAGGTCATCACCAGCTGAAGTAGTGGTGAGTGGTACAGAAGAATACTGGGAGAGAAATACCAGCCGAATGCTTTTGCCTATAGATCCTTGATGTTTAATCATAGAGTCCAGTTTAGCCCTCTCTCCCCAGCTACCAAGCCCTTCAGTTCACTTTTCATCTTACTCAATAGTTTAGGTTTATTCCTTTTTTTCTCTCTCAATGACTTACTTAACTGGGCTTTCTCTTTACCAGGCATGATACTGTTAGTTGAAGCAACCTAAAGGATGTTTAGAAGCCTTGTTGCTTGCTTTCCAATTTTGCTTTCAAATCTTTCAGGGTTAAACTTAGTCTTGTTCTTTTTCCTGCAGAGCAGGTAAATGTCAAGGTAAGAAGAACCAGGGGTATGGAAATTCTATATAGGTGGCCAATATGACAGATAGATTAGCCTTAACCTGGAAGAGAGCCCTACTAGCTGGGAATTTTTCCTTGTGATTTCAAATGGTCTGTGACTAAAATCCTATATAATAAAAGCCTAATATGCTAAGTGTCCAGTCTGGTCGGCCGTTCAACCAATCCAAGCATAATATGCTAATGATATGCTAAGGTCGCTCAAACACTCGCTATGCCGTGCACTGACCACCAAGGGGCAGGTGCTGTGACCGGTAGGTTAGCTTGCTGCTGGGGCCTGGCTGATGGGGACTGAGCAAGATGGGCTGGACACTTAAACCTTCAGATATTGAACCACACTCTTCTAAAATATTTCCAGTTTCATGCCTGGAGGGTTTTACATCTCAAAACACAGAGATTTTGCAAATGAAATTGTTGTGCTGCTATTGATTATTAGAGGAATCGTGAAAAAGGAAGAAGTGCCACAACTCCAGAGGCAGGCAAATACAAGTCCAGTTTCAACAGGTAGGATAATGAGCTTCACACCAATCCAAGGACAAGCTCTAAAATAGATCTTGTGTTGCTTGTTTCTGATTTGAGATCACTTGTTTTAGCATTTGCCATAATTGGAGTTGCCTTTCTTCCTCCGGCTTGTCTTTTTATTTCTTTAATAAGTTTTAAGATCTCAAGACACCATAGACTCTTTATCCCTTTTCAGATGAACACTGCCCAAACTAGCTCCCCAAGGGTGGGGAAATTATTCCTTCTGATGGTACTGGACCCAGAAGCTGCTACTGGCTTGGTGAATAAGTGGATCACAGGGAATGGCCCTGCCTAGACCTGAATCCCTTAGGAAATTTCCAGGCTACCATTCTGACCCATGAAGGGAATGTTCCAACCTTCTATCTTACCTTTCTTAGAGCAAAGAAGGAAGTAGGTGAGGGCGTGGTCCAAGGTAAAGTTTATTAATAACCTCCACTTGAAGTGAAGTACCACTGAGTTTGGTTTGCTTTATTTGAGGATGAGGAGGAAGAGTCTTAAGCAGGGGGTCATAATGTAGTTCTTCATTAGATATTCAACCAGAGTGGAAACTTGAAACTATGTTTTATTAGGAATGGTTGGAAGAACTAGCGATGTTCAGGGTGAAGAAAGGAAACATGCATCTCTCTCTCTCTCTCTCTCTCTCTCTCTCTCTCTCTCTCTCTCTCTCTCTCTCTCTCTCTCTCTCATCGGATTGTATCGCACCCCTGTTAAATCCTTCAGCAACTTCCCCCTTTCCTCAAGTTCAGAATCTTGAATGTGACCTACAGGGAGGGAAGGACCACCTGACTTGGTCCCTGCTCACCTCCCCAGTTTCCCTTCAGATCTCTCCCCCTCCAACTGTGCTCAGGTCAGAGCACCTTCATTCAGTCCTTTGAACCGAATGTTCCCTCAGGCTGGTCTCTCTCCATGGAAGGCTCCCTCACCTCAGACTTCACTAATTCTACTCATCCTTTAGTTCTCAATTAAAGTGTATGCACTTGGAGGTGGGGGTGGGGTCGGGAGCCTTCCTGACCCTCCAGAAGAGATGAGGTCTCTCGGGCAGTTTCAGCGCATGCTGCCTGTCTTCCCTTTGCTTGGCTTTTCATTTTTGGTTGAGTGTCTCCCTACAGATTATAAACAGCGTGAGGACTAGTACCATCTCCTTTTTGTTTCTTTCCATTTCCGAGCCCCAAGCCTCAAATGTGGTGGGTATAAAATGAATGCTTTTTGAATTAAAATGAAACAATTAATTAAAAAACTGAAAATTCTAGTTCTTTGGGAATAAGGATCACACTTACTGTATGGGGCCCTAGAAGGGTGAACTTGGGTCAGTTGTTGATATTTACGCTGAAGTAAATTGTAAGAACTTCCTAATCTTTGAATCTGCCAGAAGGGGAATGGGCAGAAGGTAAATTCCTTTTCTGATTCTAGGTCAGAAGTTGCAAACCAATAATCTGTGGGCTGAATGTGCCCTACCAATATTTCAGTTGGCTCAAGCAGTATTTTCAAAACTGGGACATTTCATACCCAAACTTCTAGCTTCTCTTGGGAAAAATCTGAAAATCAGGTAATACTGAGCTGAACTGCTGAGTGGCAACAAGTGATTAGAGCTGAGTGGCAACAAGTGATTAAGCTGAGTAGCAGCTAATTATGCTAAATAGTTAGGCTTGCAATCTCCAGATTTCCACAGGCCCCACTCGTCTCTATTGTCTGATTTGCTGTACTAGTGTATGTTATGTACCTGGCCCTTTCAGGCCTTTGAGTTTGCATCCCCCTGTTCAGGAATTCCAAACATTCAGTCTATTCAAACTGCAGATCTGCTTAGTGATGCTGAGAGATTAGAATGGCTTTGACTAAATAAATCTCTTCCATCTCTGTGATCATCAGAAATTAAAGCACTTGGAGTATGAGGCCGTTTGCATGCTTTTGAAAAGCTAACTTTTTCCTTCTGGTACCACTATATTCTTGTTGTATATATGTTACTCAGCCGGAAGTAACAATGCTATGCCCTGTCTGTTGGTGATAAATGTTGAGATAGGGGACGAGGGGCAGGGGGTGGGCGGGGGAGGGCAGATGGATGAAAAGCATTTGTTTCCTTTTTCTTACAAGGATTTGCCTCGGGCTGTGACATGGTACCAGTAGGGGGAGCCCTCTATTAATTTGGAAATCTAGAGAAGAATCTCTGTTTAGCAGTGTAATTGTATTTAATTTAGGGATTATGCTAAGAATTTATCCCCACCCTGCCCCAAGAATTCAAGTTAACAACATTAATAAATTACAGGAAATTAATAAATTACAGGAAGGTGAGTATGGCCTTCACCACTGAACCTCACCCAGGGCTTTTCTAGATGAAGACATTACAAGTTAATACCTGGAGTCCTTTAGTGCATTTGAAAGCAGCTATCATTATGCTCCTCCAATTTTCTCAAAGATTGGGTACATTTAGCCCTTGGGTCTCACAGTAATGGGCTGTTCCAAACATAAGTACAAAATGTTGGGTTTGCCAAATTGAATGACAACCACTGTTTCGATAGTTTTCATCTTTAAAAAAAACGGAGTAGTTGTAGGGTGGTTCTAAGGTTCTTTCTAGCCCAGAGCAAAGCTAGTGAAGGAGAAATTTCTTGCATGTGGGCGAAAATGTAAAGATCTCTTTGAGAACTTAGGGATTCCTTTCTCCTCCTAAAATCTGTCAGTTTTTATGAAGTCGGCTTATTTTGGGAAAATTTAAGTGATGGAAACTCTTAGCATATTATAGTATGCTAAATATTTGGAAAAAACAGTCTGATGATATATGTGTTCTTTTTATTTTAAATTTTTGACAGTTTATAAGTTATGGCTTTAGAGTCATTAATAATTGACATGCAGCCCTCTGTTTTGGAAAACTCTTTTACTTTTGTTAAATTAGTTTAGCATATATCAAACCATAATTTATTACAAAATGTTTGGTTTTTATAGTGTTGGGTTGAATTTCAGGTTAAGTCATGTGGGGTGGGGGGAAATGGCAAGGAGACTCTTACCTTCCACAAACACTTAAACATTAATAAAGGAGAAAATCAAATAGTATGTAGAGATCTCAGAGCACTCTATAAACTTTACCTAATTAAGCTTTCATCCCCTGCACAGTAAATATTCAGTTAGCCATACAGGTTAAATTGTCAGGATTTCTAATTAAGTTGTATTCTTGGTAACACGGAGCTCAAATTATATAGTTTGCCAAAGAAAATGTGTGCTATCTTATTCTAGTATGATTTCCAATGGAGTTACCATCTAATTTCTCCAAAACAGGCATTGTGCAACACTTTTGCTGCTTCATGTAATTCTTTTCACTATTATGCTATGGTTTTTTAAATTATTGTTAATGATACCAATTGAGAACTTGCTTAAGGCATTTGCATTAATTTTCTTCTAATTTGTATGGGCTCATTTTTCAGTTGCTTGAATTCAGATCCTGTTTACTCCAAGCAGGTTACTCTGGGGTAAAGGGCAGGGCAAAAGTGAACAAAGTGGCTGTTTGTCATGTCCTAATTATTGTGTGAATAGCCTGGATTCTAAGACAAGTTGTTATACTCTATTTCTTATCCCATATAACAAAAGGCTAATATGCAAATGGACCGAACGGTGGAACGACTGGTCATTATGATGCACACTGACCACCGGGGGCAGACGTTCAATGCAGGAGTTGCCCCCTCTTGGTCAATGTGCTCCCACAGGGGAAGCACCACTCAGCCAGAAGCCAGGCTCATGGCTGGTGAGCAGTGGTGGTGGCGGGATCCTCTCACACCTCCACGGCAACGCTAAGGACCCCTCCGGGGATGTCCACCTGCTGGCTTAGGCCCACTCCCCAGGCCTGCGCCCTCTCGCTTGAAACGCCCGCGCCCCCCCCCCCCCCCCCCCAATACATGAATGTCTTGCTCTTGGCCTCTAGTTTACATATAAGGATGATACAGGTGACAGTATATGTCTTCTTATCTTACTAAACTATCTTGAATTTTAATGTTTTCATTTGGATTTTGGTTGTCTTGCTGAGATTTATGAAATAGTGTTTTCTTTGTACTGCTCTCCCCCCCAAAATGACCAAGTGCTAGAGGCTACATAATACAAAAATAATTTGCTTGTAAAAAGGTGGTATCTAGGAGTCAAGAACTCATGCTTTAACCTCAGAACTTTATTATGTAGCCTTGACTAAGCCAGTGACTATCTTAACTTTCCTTAGTTAAGCATGTCTTAAAACAAAGTTTACAAATGGTCTTTGTCCTCATCTTCTATGTATGTTGTAAACAATTATTAAGTCCTTTAATAATGCAAGTATTGTTTTTCCATTATTGGTTACTGGAGATCACAAATTAACCTCAACTTTCTCTAAGGATGAGTTTCAATCACAGCAGACTAGAGCAACAAGAGAAATGAATGTGAAGATATCCTTATTATTTGCCAACATGCCACTCCATGGCCTTCTTCTAAAGGCTTTCTTGATAGGGAAAGATCATTTGAGCCCTTGAGATTAGAAAGCTTAAGCAATCTTGTAGGCACATTATTTCTTGTGATAACCCTTGTCCTTTCCTGAGAATGCATTTTGAGATACTTAGACTTCACTGTAAATCTTTAATTATTTGAAGATCTCTGTGCCAGTATTAACATATCAGGCAAGAATAATTTTAGCCAAGTTCACTGAAAGTATTCTCTCCAGTAATTTCATCTGATTCCTTTTCTTGGCACATATTACATAGACTATAAAATAGAGGTGCTATCTGTAGAGATGGTGAGCGGTTTTGTAATTCCCTTATTTCTGTGGGTGGGTTCTTTTCACTTTCTCTCTGCTGCATCCTCAGCTGTCACGAATGTTTTGTTTTTCTCTTTTGCAGATGACACACTTGGTGCTGCCTGGCATGGTAGAAAGGTGAGTCACGAGCTCACGCACCAACACTGGGGAGACAGCGCTCATGGTTATTTATAGGGAGAATCCTTTCTTTGAAAAATTCACTAAAGTGACTAATGAACCTCTCCTCCATGTCTTAGTGACAGTGATGAGTCACAGGGCGAAGTGTGAGTCATCTGGTGGGGGAGGCTTTTTCCACTCGATTCCCTTTTCATTCCCCTCTCCAGGGTTGCAGTGGTTCCTTTAGATCTGGATAAAAAGTCTGCCTGAGTCACCAACACTAACTCAATTGCCTGCTGTTCTGAGGGGGTGGATAGAGTTCCTGGGATGTCCCCGGGAATCCCTTCTCAGAGCTCTGTGCTCTCAGAGCCCCAACTAGTGGAGTTTCATGACAAAAGGCCCCATCCTCTGGTTTTCCAGGTCTTCCGGGGAGCATGGGTGTATGAGGAACTTGGGCTATGAAGTGATTATAAGATGTCAGCCCCACCCTTGGGGGAAAAAGACTATGCCTGCTAGCCTCATTGTTCCACTTTATATTGAGTTCCACTAGAACGTGCTGGGTGTCTTCATTTTTATTGAGAAATGTGTTGTGGAGTTCTTACATTGAAATAGCATGAAGTGTCAAATTGTGATTAAACTCTGTCCTTCCCTTGTTTTTCTCTTCGGAAAAGCCTGAAGGATGGCTTAGACCTTCAAAGAAAACTCGTTGAAAAGAGCTGGGCTTGCATCTTGAGCTTGCTTGCTCATTTGCTAAATTTAGGGCTTCACAGTCATCCTTCCTCTGCAAAATAGCTTTGAGTTTAAAAGACCCTCCAAAGGAATTGCAGCTTTGAAAAGGGAAGACCTAGGATCCTACTTCTGTGAAGAAACCTCTGCAACCAGCTTCAGGCAGGGATTACAGCTAATGTTTATTGAGCACATATTATGTGCCAGGTGTTGTACCAAGAGCATGATATATGTTAACTCATTTAACCTTGATAGCCTCCCACCATTGTACAGATGAGGAAACGAGATTAAGAATACATTTTGAGAAAAATAAAAAAAATAAAAAAATGAAAAAAAAAAGAAAAAAAAATAGAAAGAAAAACAGGAAAAAAAAAAAGAATACATTTTGTTTGGCATCTGTAGAGACTGGTTGAGAAACTGCTTCTAGTTTCTTTCTTCTAAGGCTCTTTGTTTATAATTCCATTTTATATGTAGTTTTATATATCTTAATAGCTTGTTTTTAGTCAAATTTTCCTTTAAAATCTTCAAGCTGCTGATTGGTGGTTGACCATGGGAGTGTGTCCCCCTGATGGTCAGATGTGGAAGGGACAGTGGTCAAACCAGACGAGAACCTTAAAAAACTGCAGAGAATTAGGGCAGACAAAATAGAACTTGGGAGGGATGATACTTGAGCCATCATCTTAGTCTTACTTTGATAGCTGCAAGTGATATGGTATTAATTCAGAATAGAAAGTCCATCCATTAAAAAAGAAAGACTTACATACTTATAAATCACAGAGGGTATCGTAAAAGGTATTTTTAGTGTGTTGGTGAAAAACTAAATAATAAAAGATAACATTGTGACATCTTTGCAGATCATAAAATATTAGATTCAAAGAGTCATAGAATTTCAGTACTTTAAGTTAAAAATGAGTGCTATGAAGCTACATATTTAGTAACTGCACTAGGCCCTAGGAACTTCACCCTACCTCTGTAGACCTCACAGTCATATCAGAGTTGTAGTTGGAGCCTTAGATAAATACAAAGAATGCAAAGAAAAGGATCCATCCATTCAACAGGCAGTCATTAAGTAAATTTTATCATGGATTACACAGAAGATTCATTGGATCCTTGCCTTCAAGAAATCAAGTTGATTTTAAATTGAAGTTGAGAAATGATCTGGCGAAAGCCATCATAGGCTAGACTGAAACTGACATCATGGGGTGATTGTGGCACTTGTTAAGAACTAATGAGAAATGTGAGTGGATTTTATGAGACAGTTCTTTTGGTTTGGGGGAGTAACAGCTATATTCACTAGAGTTAAAAGAGTTTCTAGTTGAATTAGTCAAGGTAGGCTAACTATTATAACAGACCACCCCCAAATCTCAGTGGTTTAACACCATAATAGTTGATTTTTCCCTTGCAGCACAGCCAATATGAGTCAGTGGTAAGGGCTTGCTCTACCTAGTTACTCAGGGTCTCAGGCTCCTTCCATCTAAGGCCTCCCCTCTTCTTCCCTTGGGCCTTGCAGTTCTCTGCTGAGTGCTCTGGATCCAGTTAACAGATGAAGTGAGAGAATAAAAATGGTTTTATGGAGGTTTCATAGTCCAGGCCTGGAACTGCTGTAATTGGCTCTGCCCACATTCCATTGTCCAGAACTCAGTCAGAGGCTGTGTGCCCAAGAAGGAAAAAAAACTCCAATTTACCAGCTCATCTGATAAGCCTTATACATTACAAGTGATTATATTATAGCCTGCACTTTACACTGTCCCCAAATGGCATATTTCCTGTGCTTGGTTACCATCGGATTCGTATCTACATTGAGTAAAAGCAGAGTCCTGTATAAAGATCCTTTGTTGTTGTTTCTCCCCCCTTGCACTAATTCTGTCTCTGATGTATGAGATTTTCCAAACCCTCTAGAACTATAGCCACAGGCCAACTGACCATCACTAAACAAATATCTGCAATCAAACTAAGGTATTATATTACCATAGAGGTAGAAGGTGCATAATTGCATTATAGAGGAAATTTGCTCTTTCCACTTCCCTGGAATTATAAACATCGGGTACAGCTGGAGCCAGGAGGTGGTTGCCATAACAACCATGGAAAAGCTAAAAATAGCTTCTTTCATACTGTATTGCTTAAGGTGGAATTATGACATGTTATGGTGTTTTAGGACAGACAGTTCTCTTTCGTGTGGTAAGTGTTTGCAAACTTTCTTCAACAAAGCAATATTTGTACAATGCTCTTGGATTGCCAGTTCTAATTATCTACCTGCCCCCCATGTTCCAGGATTCTCTTCTGACCTAGAACTGTTTTGGTATGTTTCTCGGTCTTCTTGAGAGTCTGTTTAGAGAACTGTTTGTACCAAATTCAATGTTATGTTCAAGCTTAGAAATGAAAGCAGTGACCCTCCAAGAGCACACTTAGAAATGGGAATATGAATAATTGTGATAGTCTTTTTTACAGTCTCCCTTGACTGCCATCAAACTCTACATACAGTGAGCCGTCCACATTAGGGTTGACCATGCTCCATTTCTCCACAGCAGCATTTACACCCCCACCTCTCCCTCCTCACCTGCAGTGTGGGGCAGTGAGGAGGTTTCTGAGGAAGGCAGAAATCGGTGACTTACTTCAGAGGAGACCTATCACTTCCTCTGTGACAATAGTATTTTCCTAGAGCTATGGACAAGGTTACTACAACAAACTGATGGAATAGTGGGGCATGCATAGAAGAATAAAGGGTTGGCATTTTTTTAAATCCAGGTGACAATGGAGGAGAGTGTTGTGATTGGGAATTTCACAGTCTGAGCGAATTCTATCCATAGGAAGCTATGAATGCATTTGATGTTGAGTTTTATAGGGTTGGATGAGTTGAACATTTCACTTGTGAGAAGGGCTAGTAATTGAAGAGAACGTGTTTATGGGAAAAGGTACTACCTTATTAGCAATGGTGTTCTCTGCTCTGTTTCTGAGGTGCATTAGTTCCAGTAGAGCCTCAGTGATTTGCACCTCTGAGACACCATCATGTGGCTGTTAGCAAGTAAGAAGCGAGATGAATTAAGGATATTGTATCAGAAAATATTACCTGACTTGCTTATTTGGATTATTTGTCATAACAAACTGGAAATGCGCTGAAGCAATGTGAGTCTTCATTATGAACTTCAGCAAATATTCTTAATGTACCTTCCGATCAATCTTAGAATTGTTCCCCAAGTTCCAGGAAAATGAGAGATTAACCAGGGCTTGGTTTTATGTTTGTTTCTGTGTGCGGTTAAGTGCAGCCCATTTTGTCCTTCTGCTTGATATAACAGAGTTGTCATGAGTCTGGCTGTGCCATGGAAACTGGCTTGACGTCACTAATTCTGCTTAGAGGATTAGAGCTCAACAAAATAGTTGGTTTTAAAGACCAGTCCTCTGTACCTTGCACTCCCAGTGTTCATCCCCCATCTCTGCATAAAGAAAAGATCCTGTATACAGTACAAGGATTAAGGCAGCTAGACCAGTGTGTTATTTATGATTCAGACAAAACTAAGGTGAATATGATTATCCTTGAAGAAAAAGAGAGGGGCTTTTTTGTGCTGTCTCGTGTGTGGATGTGGGAGGAAGGCTCTTGCTAGACAAATTCGTGTGCTTCTTGGTAGCACAGAGTTTTTGTAGAAGGGGTGTTTTCCTGCTGCCATTTTAGTAGGGTTATAGATGCTTTCCTTTTATAAATGCACTTAGGTCTAGTGCATTCTCGCTTTATGTTTGCTTGGTCTTAGGCTTGTTTTGATGTATTTTAGAGTGCAAATATTGTGTTGTGAATAAAGTACTTTCAAATTCTGACTTTTCACTAATTCAAACTAACTCTGCCTCCTGGAAATTTTAATTAGAGTGGAATATTTGGGAAACCAAAATCTCGGTTGACTCAAGGAGTAAACAGTTAAAGAAGCATAAATGCATGATTGTGACCTATTTGATTATTGGCCTATTGTATTGAAAACAGGAAAGAAGTTTTTGTTATCATTAAGTGAATTTTCTTATATTGAAATCATTGCTTTGGGGAATGAAGTTTTAGGAGGCCATTTTGGTGAGAACTTATCGCTCTTGTAGCTTCCACTTCTTTGGGATCTGCTCTGAGCTTAAAGGTGGCACCTTCCATTATATCATAAATATATATTTTCTCTCTTTTTTTTACAGATGTATTGAGATACATTTCACATACCATAAAATCCACTCATTTATAAAGGGTATAATTTGGTGGTTTCTAGTATATCCACAAAGCTATGAGGCCATCACTGCCACCTAATTTCAGAATATTTTCAATACCATCAAAAGATAAAGATATTTTAAGCATCATAAATTGATGCTATATTAAACATCTCCAGTAGTGCCGGGGTCCAACCCCAGCAGGTCCAGGGGTTCCCAAAGGTGTAGACGGAGTCAGCGAAGAAGGAAGGACACGGAGACAGTGTTCAGTTGATCAGCAGCCTAGCCAGGATCTCCAGCCAGGATCTCCAGCCAAGTTCTAGTCTGGATCACCAGAGAGGTTCTGCTTAGGATCTCCAGCCAGGTTCTGTGTCCATGTTCTCTTGCTAGGTTCTCCAGGTTCTCCAGCCAGGTTCTCTAGCCAGGTTCTGTCCAGGTTCTCCAGCCAGGTTCTCTTGCCAATTTCTGTAGTCAGGTTCAGTCCAGGATCTTTTGCCATGTTCTCTCGCTAGGTTCTGTCTCTAGGTTCTGTTGCCAGTTTCTGTCCAGGATCTTTTGCCATGTTCTCTCCAGCGAAGTTCTTCTGTCTCTAGGTTCTGTGTAGGTTCTGTCTTCTAAGTTCTGTCTTGTTACATCTGTATTTATACCGGTTGATTCCAATCCTATCAATCTCTATTCCAAAGGTTAGGGCGTTTCTTATCTCCATTCCAGGGAGTAAAGATTATGTAGCTTAAGCATGATTGTTCGTAGTTAAAGTGATTAATTACCCACCTGGCACTTAGTTAAGAGGTTTGATTCCCTCCCTAACTTCAGGGGAAAATCCCTACCTGGGGAAACAACCTTTCTCAGAGAGGTGACCTTGGTTAAAACACATAGTGCCAAGAAGGTGAGCAAACATATCAAGAACAGTATGCCATATATGCCAGGTCCCTTGAGACAGCAAGGATGGACCGGCTCCCGGCACAGTAGTAGAACTGGTTTTTAGTCAGTGTTGATCAAAGGAATTTCTCATAAATATAGGTAAAATTAAAGTACTGGATAGTCATTGCTAATTCATGGGTTTTTATCTTTTAGTGATTGGCTTCTAACTCCTGCTAGAGACTCTTACCTTAACATTTAAAAAAAAGGCTTTTCTGTCGCTGTCAGAGACACGAGCAAAAAATGCACAAATGTAAATATAGTCAATAATACTGTAAGAACTATGTATGGTGCCAGGTGGGTACTGGAAATATTGAGGGGAACACTTTGGAAAGTTTATGATTATCTTATTACTATGCTATCCGCCTGAAACTAATACAAAACAATATTGAATTTTTAAAAAATACAAAAATTATATAATTAAAACATTGACTAAATTCCAACTGTCTTCAAAACCCCAATATGACATTTTCAAATTTGAGATTTGATTTCTGTGACCAAAATGTTAATGGGTTTCACCATTTAGGAAAGTTTGGATTACAGATAAGGACTTCAGTTAAAAAACAAACAAAAACAAACTTGTCTCCAGTGACCCATAACCTGAGGATCCAGACTCGGTTTGACGGTTGACATGGCATCTCGCCCAAAGACTGGCAGATGGACTGGGTGACCTTTTGAGATTATTTCCTTTCAGATTTATGTCTAAGGTAATGTAGATGCCATGTAATCATGTTTCTGTGATTATTTTGCATTAAAAAGGCCTATCTAGTCCCTTCTTTTAATATTGAAAAAAATAGCCTGGCCGGTGTGGCTCAGTGGTTGAGCATTGACCTATGAACCAGGAGGTCAGGGTTCGATTTCTAGTCAGGGCATGTGCCTGGGTTTTGGGCTTGATCCCCAGTAGAGGGCATGCAGGAGGCAGCCAATCAATTACTCTTTCTCTTCATTGATTTTTTTTCTCTCCTTCTCCCATCCTCTCTGAAATCAGTAAAAATATAAGAAAAAATAGGCGTTGGGGGAAGTAAATTCAGACAAAGAATAATGAGAAACTGGGTTGAAGGAAAGGAACATGATGTAGAGGACAGAAGGTGAGTGAGGTCAAGTTGCCGTAGCTAAAGAAGGGGCCCAGCCCCAATGAGTAGAATGGATTTGAGGGGGGGAGAGTTGGTGGTTAAATCTAAAATTCCCCAGACCTTCATTCCACACTTTATCTAATCCACACATGCTTGTTAACAACTCATATATTTACAATATTGCTTTCCTCAAACTACTTTTCATTTATTTGTAGAATTAGTAACTTCTGATAACTTTCTGACTTTTAACTTTAAGTAGTCTCCAAAAGTTACAGTAGAAGCTCTCAAGCTTTGCCTTTGGCTAAAGAATATGGTTTGAGGAGCTATAGTATCACATGTTAGAGTCAACTCTTCATTTAGCACCTGAATATCCAGGGAAGTAAGAGGGCAGGACCTGTCACTCATTTCCAGGTTTTATTAAGTACTGGTTATTCAGGGGTGGGCAAACTTTTTTTTTTTTTTAATTAAATCTTTATTGTTCAGATTATTACATTTGTTCCTCTTTTTCCCCCCCATAATTCCCCTCCTCCCAGTTCCCGCCCCACCCTCCGCCCTCACTCCCCACCCACTGTCCTCATCCATAGGTGCACGATTTTTGTCCAGTCTCTTCCCGAATCTCCCACACCCCTATCCCCCCAAGAATAGTCAGTCCATTCCCTTTCTATGTCCCTGATTCTATTATAATCACCAGTTCATTCTGTTCATCAGATTATTCACTTGATTCTTAGATTCACTTGTTGATAGATGCATATTTGTTGTTCATAATTTGTATCTTTACCTTTTTCTTCCTCTTCCTCTTCTTAAAGGATACCTTGCAGCATTTCATATAATACTGGTTTGGTGGTGATGAACTCCTTTAGCTTTTCCTTATCTGTGAAGCTCTTTATCTGACCTTTCGTTCTGAATGATAGCTTTGCTGGATAAAGTAATCTTGGTTGTAGGTTCTTGGTATTCATCACTTTGAATATTTCTTGCCACTCCCTTCTGGCCTGCAAAGTTTCTGTTGAGAAATCAGCTGACAGTTGTATGGGTATTCCCTTGTAGGTAACTGAGTTTCTTTCTCTTGCTGCTTTTAAGATTCTCTCTTTGTCTTTTGCTCTTGGCATTTTAATTATGATGTGTCTTGGTGTGGTCCTCTTTGGATTCCTTTTGTTTGGGGTTCTCTGCACTTCCTGGACCTGTAAGTCTATTTCTTTCACCAGGTAGGGGTAGTTTTCTGTCATTATTTCTTCAAATAGGTTTTCAATATCTTGCTCTCTCTCATCTTCTGGCACCCCTATAATTCTGATGTTGGTACGCTTGAAGCTGTCCCAGAGGCTCCTTACACTATCCTCGCATTTTTGGATTCTTTTTTCATTTTGCTTTTCCGGTTGGGTGTTTTTTGCTTCTTCGCATTTCAAATCTTTGACTTGATTCTTGCGCTCCTCTGGTCTGCTGTTGGGAGTCTGTATAGTATTCTTTATTTCAGTCGGTGTATGCTTAATTTCCAGTTGATTCTTTATCACAACATCGAGGGTCTCATTAGATTTCTTGAGGATCTCATTAAGTTTATCGGCGGCTTCTAGATAGTTCTTGAGAGACCTTAAAAGTGTGGTTCTGAACTCTATATCTTCCATTGACAATTTTGTCCTGTTTCTTTGTCTCCGCATTTTGTTATGTTTTCTTGGTGCACCCCCTAGTGGTCTTTGTGCGCAGTCTTGTAGTTAAGCCTTGATTGTTGTAGCTAATACTAGGGGGGATTTGACCTCCAGGCCAAGTGGCTGTGAGAATCTGCTGTGTCTGCAGTGAGAGAACTTCTGTCCTCTAGGGAGGTGCTAATCTGGCGTTTGCCTGAGGCTATCCGGCAAATGCCTCTTTGCAGGGCATGGGCAGGGTGGGTGGGTCGCACGGGATCAACAGGGTGGGCCGGGGAGAGCAGTTATGGCGCTCTCAGTCCCGTCCCCAGGGGCTCTGCCTCTCTGAGTCCCAGCAACCGCTGCAAACCTCGGAGAGAAAGCTGCACTCGCTCTGACCGAAGCCAGACAGTCCCGCTTCTCCCGTTTGATTCAGGGTCCCTAAAGACTCACCCGGATCTGGAGCTCAGAGTCTGCGACTCCCTCCAGGGCTGGGCAAACTTTTTGACTCGAGGGTCACAATGGGTTCTTAAACTGGACCAGAGGGCCGGAACAAAAGCATGGATGGAGTGTTTGTGTGAACTAATATAAATTCAAAGTAAACATCATTATATAAAAGGGTACGGTCTTTTTGTATTTTTAGTTTTATTCATTTCAAACGGGCCAGATCCGGCCCGCGGGCCGTAGTTTGCCCACGGCTGGGTTATATGCTCAGACTGTGCTGAGTGTTTTGAGGAAAAGTGAGGACAAAGGCTACGATGTTTAGGAGCTTATGGTTTTGTTGAATGAGAGAAATATGTGTGTACATCAAATGATTAAATACTACAGCAAGGTAGTACGTGATGGGATGCCAAAATAAAATCATGCAAGGAGTGTAAGAGTGTTTCTATAAGTGAGAATTCTTGGTGCTGTGGGCAGAGAAGGCCTCAGGGGGTGGAGATCAACTCCAGGACACTGTAGATCTGATCCGGTCATGCCCCAGATTACAAAGACTGAGAAATGAGCTAATTGCAAACAAGAGCTATTTTTAGTTGGTTGAGTTATGCCTCATTCACTGACCAAGCATATCACATGCTGATGACAGGCAAGGAAAGACGTGTGTTAGAAAAACAGCGAGGTCATTCTGTTTCAAACCTGGATCTCCATCTGTAATTTACAAAGAGTTGTGCGAATGATTTCGTTCTGTTTATGGAACATTTTCCTTTTTAGATCTAAAGGCGTGATTCTGAACATCTCCTCCGCCAGTGGCATGAACCCATTTCCACTGCTGACCATCTACTCTGCAACCAAGGTGAACAATTTTTTAGTAAATCTTGTTGGAATGAGAATGAGGAATTATTTTTAATCTCAGTTCAATCTCAGAGAAGAGAAGTAAAATACCCTCCACTGGTTTCAGGGGAGCCAGAGCCAATGAGAACTGATCGGTATAAACTTTATAAACAGGACACCAAGATCTCAGATCCACAGATGGTATTTTTCCTCCCACTAAATTACTGCTGTTAAAATTGAGTTTGAACTTTCCAGAGAAAGTTGGCCTAGCTCAGTCGATCAGAGCATAACGTTAATGAATCTAAGATTGGGGATTTGATTCATGAGTAAGTCACTTTCATATAGCATCGGTTCAAGTAAGCAGAGCTGAGTAGGATTGCAGCCAGTCAACACTTAAATACACATAGTAGGCACAAGATAGACTGTATTTTGACACATTATTCAGAATTCACAGACATTTCTTGTCACTTCTGGAATGAGAGAATTTTCCAGAACTCTGTGTAAGATATCATAATTTTATATTCCACCATTCACCTCTTCATGTTACTACTAGGAAGATAATTTAGAATGCATTTCCTGTTGCCTGCAGGTCAATAGCACCATCTGCATATACACTGTTGAGGCAAAAGGATACATCTCTGAAATGGGAATGCCTGCTGAGGTGCTGAAATTAAGTAAACTTTTAGCGGGAAATGAGCAAAATATAATACATAATAAGAACTCGCCATAAAAAAAAGTTATTCTTATTGAACTCACCATAGATCAGGGAAGGAAAAGAGCAATACACCTTCCTTCCTTTTCACTTGGCTTTGTGTCCACTGGGAAAATGTAAACAGCAACTACTGTTTTCTGTGCAATCTGCTTGCTTTCTATGGCTCTGAAACACACAGTGGGCATGTGTATGGCGAGCGCCAGGTGTTTGGAAGTGATCGGTGAACTCCAACTGCTTACCTGTTCTGCTCCATGGACACAAGACTAATTATTGGGGTCCTAGAAGAGTCATTACTGAGACTTTGCATTTTAAGCCTGAGGCTGAGTTCACATTTGAAAAATGGTCCTGTGCATTGTATTTCACAGGCAGATAGGAAGTCGTGCTGTTACAAGAAGAGGGGCTGTCAGGTTCATCTCTACACTTCCTGGACCCCACAGGGCCAAGAGGATGCTTGTTCTTTTCTTCTCTTTATTGACAAAATCCCCCTAGAACAGAGTTGAACAGAATTTATATTGTGTTTCTGTTTGAATGGCAAGTAGGGAGGAGGACTGCATCCTTTGTTGTATAATTAAACATTCTTCTTTCTCAAAAAAGAAAAGAGCCTTTTCCAGTTAAATCAAAATTTCATCTAGATATGATATTTGGTGAGAGAATAATTTAGTGGCAGATATAAATGACTTGAGGGCTTGAGGTGTTTGTCTGAGGTCTCTTCTGCATTCTTTTTGACATAAAAAGAATGATTAGAAGCTATAGTGCTAACTGGGATAGTTTATTATTTTTGTGTTGGTGGCTACAAATCAGACAGATTGATGTGATGTGTGTGTGTTTTCTTCTCACTCCCACCCCCTCCCAGGGTTTTGTAGATTTCTTCTCTCAGTGCATCCATGAGGAATATAAGAGCAAGGGCATCTTTGTGCAGGTGAGTAGAGTTTGTTTCAGTTAAGTGTTCCTGTTTTTGTGTGGTTTCCACAGCAACTGTTGCTGTCTTGGTAACGAAAGAAAATCACATTCCTAAGTAAGTGAATATGATGGTAGCACACAATTAAAGACATGTGTTTGTTTTGTTTTTCTTTATGTACTTCAAGTCCAGATTTTAAAAAATTATTCCTTAGAATTTTTAAGTCAGGATACCTGGAGTAGAACTAAATGTAGTGTAAACAGTTGAAGCATAATTATTGTAAGTTCTTAAGATTTTATTTAGAGAGAATTAGACTATTAATATCTCTTAGCTGCCAGGTATTTAAGGTGTGCCATGACTGTTCCAGTGCTCCTGTGTACTAACCACAGAGAGGGTCAAGAACTGAACAAAATTGACTTGTACTAGAGCAAGGATGACAGCAAACACCAGGGTGATGTAGATACAGTAGTGATTTTTAACAGTTTAAAAATGATGGTAAAATATAAATAACAGAAAACACCATTTACCAATTTATAAGTATTTAGTTTCGTGGCATTAAATACATTTGCATCATTGGGTAAGCATCACCACCATCCATTTCCAGAATTTTTTTCATCTTCCCAAACTGAAACTGTACCCATTAAACATGTACTCCCCATTCCCTCCTCCCCCCTGCCCTTGCCAGGCACCATTCTACTTTCTATCTCTCTGAATTTGACTACGCTACGTACTTCATATGAGTAGAATCATACAGTATTTGTCCTTTTGGGACTGGCTTTTTTCACTTAGCATAGTGTCTTCCAGGTTCATCCGTGTTGCAGCAGGTATCAGAATTTCCTTTCTTTTTAAAGCTGGATAATATTCCATTGTATGAATGTACCACATCGTGTTTATCTATTCACCTGACTTTATTTTTATTTTTCCCTAATAATGAATGATGAATTATGTAATTTCATTGATCCTTGTCTTCCTTCATATGAATTCATTCAGGGTTTAAACTTGGAATGAATTTGTTGAAAATATAAAAATTCAGATGTTGGTGAGGGGAAGGAAGTACAGGTGTCATTTCTGTGTGAACATATCAGAACGCTGAAGTCTCATGTTAGTTCTTTTTTTTTTTTTTTTTAATTAAATCTTTATTGTTCAGATTATTACATTTGTTCCTCTTCCCCCCCCCCCCCATAACTCCCCTCCTCCCAGTTCCCACCCCACCCTCCACCCTCACTCCCCACCCACTGTCCTCATCCATAGGTGCACGATTTTTGTCCATTCTCTTCCAGCATCTCCCACACCCCTTTCCCCTGCAAGAATAGTCAGTCCATTCCCTTTCTATGTCCCTGATTCTATTATATTTACCTTTTTCTTCCTCTTCCTCTTCTTAAAGGATACCTTTCAGCATTTCATATAATCCTGGTTTGGTGGTGATGAACTCCTTTAGCTTTTCCTTATCTGTGAAGCTCTTGATCTGACCTTCAATTCTGAATGATAGCTTTGCTGGATAAAGTAATCTTGGTTGTAGGTTCTTGGTATTCATCACTTTGAATATTTCTTGCCACTCCCTTCTGGCCTGCAAAGTTTTTGTTGAGAAATCAGCTGACAGTCGTATGGGTATTCCCTTGTAGGTAATTGAGTTTCTTTCTCTTGCTGTTTTTAAGATTCTCTCTTTATCTTTTGCTCTTGGCATTTTAATTATGATGTGTCTTGGTGTGGTCCTCTTTGGATTCCTTTTGTTTGGGGTTCTCCGCGCTTCTTGGACCTGTAAGTCCATTTCTTTCACCAGGTGGGGGAAGTTTTCTGTCATTATTTCTTCAAATAGGTTTTCAATATCTTGCTCTCTCTCATCTTCTGGCACCCCTATAATTCTGATGTTGGTACGCTTGAAGCTGTCCCAGAGGCTCCTTACACTATCCTCGCATTTTTGGATTCTTTTTTCATTTTGCTTTTCCGGTTGGGTGTTTTTTGCTTCCTCGCATTTCAAATCATTGACTTGATTCTTGTGCTCCTCTGGTCTGTTGTCAGGAGTCTGTATAATATTCGTTATTTCAGTCCGTATATGCTTAATTTCTAGTTGGTTCCCCAATATAACATCGAGGGTCTCATTAGTTTTCTTGTAGATCTCATTAAGTTTATCGGTGGCTTCTAAACAGTTCTTGAGAGACCTTAAAAGTGTGGTTCTGAACTCTATATCTTCCACTGACAATTTTGTCCTGTTTCTTTGTCTCCGCATTTTGTTATGCTTCCTTGGTGCACCCCCTAGTGGTCTTTGTTCGCAGTCTTATAGTTAAACCTTGATTGTTGTAGCTAATACCAGGGAGGGTTTGACCTCCAGGCCAAGTGGCTATGAGAATCAGCTGTGTCAGCAGTGAGAGAACTTCTGTCCTCTAGGGAGGTGCTAATCTAGGCTTTGCCTGAGGCTATCCGGCAAATGCCTCTGTGCAGGGCTTGGGCAGGGCGGGTCGCACAGGATCAACAGGGTGGGCCGGAGAGAGCAGTTATGGCGGCTCTCAGTTCTGTCCCCAGGGGCTCTGCCTCTCTGAGTCCCAGCACCCGCTGCAAAGCTCAGAGAGAAAGCTGCACTCGCTCTGACCGAAGCCAGACAGTCCCGCTTCTCCCGTTTGAGTCTGGGTCCCTAAAGACTCGCCCGGATCTGGAGCTCAGAGTCTGCGACTCCCTCCCGATTGAAAACGCCAACCGTGCCCTCCGCTGCCAGCCCGCTCCACGCACTCCACACCTCAGAATTTGACTTCAGCACTGCGCCTCCTCTGAGTGTCCGTATGCGTTTCTCTTTCCTCCTAGTTGTAGGACTTCCACTCAGCCAGCGTTCCTGTGGTTCTGGGTGATGTCCGTTCCGTCTTTTAGTTTCACTTTTGAAGTAGTTGTTCAAAGCAGCAAACTCCGGCGTTAACCTATGCCACCATCTTGGTTCTCCTCAGCCAGCCCCCGATGTACCATAGTTTCTCATGTTAGTTCTGACCAGAGGAACAAAACAATCTGCTCTCTATGTATTACTCAGAATTAAACATGATTGGCTTTCTCTGGTGGTGGTTTCTGTCGGCACATTTTTTGGACTAGGAGTCTTTCCTGTCCACTCCATCCCACGTACTATTTCCTGGTGATCTTGTTAAAATACAACACAGATAATGTTACTTTCCATGGTGGTCTTCCAGTGGCTGCCCAACATGTTTTGCATTGAACTGAAACTCCCCTCAACTTCTTTCCTATAATTCCATAAGGGCATTTAAAATTTCCTTCATGAATTCAGATTTGCTGTTATGGGAGCATTTCCTGGAAATGCAAATAAACCATAGTGACCGAATGATATCAAGGCCCTTGGGCGAAGTTTGGGCCTGATAAACCCTGTCTAATGATTTTTCAATAGAGGGTAAGAAGTATCTTTTCATAAACCTCATCAAAAGTGTGCTCTGTTGGTGAGAACTATCTGTTCTCGGTATTGCCCTGTAATTAAAGTACAGTCCAGATTATGTTTAACTCGTTGAAAGAGCACAGTCAGAAGTATAGCCTGGCTGGCTAGTTGGTGGGCCCCAGTACTGGGCCTCTCTGTGCCCTGCACTGACCAGTTATTTATGCTGAGCAGGTAAGAAAGAGCTGACACTAGGATGACATCCTAAAACTTTACTTATTGAATTCATTGCATAAAACTTTCACAAGCCTTGTTTTTTAAAAAATGTCTTATTTGGAAATAATTTCAAATCTACAGAAAAATTGCAAGAATAAGAATAATACAAGGAATATCCAAATGCTCTTTCCTCAGATTCAGTCACTGTTAACATTTACTCCATTTATTTTATCATTGGTAAATGAGGTGCATACATCATGGTTCTTTACCTCTGAATGCCTGAGTGTATATTTCCAAAAATAAGCAGATTCTCTTATATAACCACAATTACCAACTTTAGAGTTAACACTGGATATAATATTTTTAACTAGTTTGCCATTTACACTCCAATTTATAATCTCCATAATATTTTTATAGCATCTTTTATCCTCCAGTAAAGAATTCAGTCTAGGACCAAGTATTATATAGTTGTCCTGCCTCTTTACTTTCTTTTAATCTGGAATACACCCACAGCCTTTGTCTTTTATGACATTGGTATTTTTGACGAGTATAGTACTCCTTCTGCTTGTTTTAATTGAACAGATCCTGAAATGGAAAATAAATACACAGAGTTGAGGACAAAAACTTCCCTCAGATGCCTCATAGAAGCTGCAGCCTCTGCCTTAAGAATATGTGCCTGCTAGACTGGTGAATTTAATGCTCATAAAAGACAGATTAAGCACCATGTCTAAATTCCATATCATGCAAATGGATGAGCCTGGATCCGTGTGTTTCAAGCATGGTTGTGAATTGTTCTGGTTACTTTTAAATGCGAGAAGGCGTGTGCAGTACTCATGGCTGCAGGAAAGCTGTTCTCCCATGTGAAATTATGAGATCCAGTGTTGAATTCTTGAATGCCCGCCGTGCAGCATGGGACGTCCATCCTTCCACTGCCCCATGATATTGAGTTGTAGTAGCTTTTTGGCTCCTAATTTAGGTCCCCTGAATTGTTTGTTAAAACCAGATACCTACGCCAGCTGCTCCAGTGTGTGAGAAAAAAAGACCAAGTTGTCTCTAGGGATTTTTTTTTTTTTTTTTTTTTTAAATGGGATGAGCAAGGATCACACTTCAGCTTTGCTTTGTGGCTGAGTTAATTATTTTCAGTTCGGGATTCTGAATTTGAAGACCAGGGCACTTGCCCAAATCTGTAGCTGTCAAGATCTAGGCTGTTTCAGTTGGCAGTATTTAAAATGGCAAATGGTTGCGCTTAAGCAACGTTTAACATTTGCTCTGCCTGACATACTTCCTATGAAAGTATAAGTATCTTCTTGACCTGGTCACTGTAATGTTTCCCTGAGTAAGCAGGAAAGATGGATTAATTGTTGTCTATTGGGTTTTTTAACTGAAGGATGTAGCTAGATGACATTTTGACATGTAAGATATTTATTTTTACATAATTTGAAATGTTCCTTTTGAAATTCTGGGCAGGCAGTATGCCTTCGTTTAGATGGGTGATCTTGCTTAAGCTCAGGCATATCTAAAATTGTGGCTTAAGCTCTCATATTACATTGTCAGCCTTCTGATGTAGATGACGTCCTGGACTGCAGCAGGGGAAGGGCCCAGGCTCTCCTTCAGTGCTGCATAGCGGAGTGTTCTGCTGCTGATTCCTTTAGTAGCTTCTCTTTGTGTTTCTACTCTGTTCTAGGGACCATTCTAAGTGTTGGCAGTATAGTGGCGAGTAAGACCATGTGTTCTTAGAGCTTATACTCTGGCAGTCAGTACTGTCCGGTGATTGGATTTCGTCTCCTGTGCTGCTCAGCCTTCCTCCTGCCACTGCTTCACACACACCTGATATATGGACCATACTGAACTACTTACGCTTCTCTGAGGACATTGCACTTCCCTGTGCCCTTGCTGTTCCCAGTACCCAAAATGTTCTTCCCTGTTTGTTTACCTGGCAAACTCTTCCACTTCGTTTAAGACTCAGCTCAAAAGTTATTTCATCTCTGACTCCCTCCTTCCTCTACCAGGCCATGTTAAGCGCCTTGATTTGAAACCATTGTGGAGATAAATGAATGCCCTTTCCAGAATAGAGTGTGTACTTCTTAGCTGGGAAAATGTGACTTGGAATTTCTGGGCATGCCTCTGTCTCCTCTTCTCCACCTCCAGATGGGTTAGCTGAGTGAGGAGTTAACTTGTGGCGCCATCAAGTGGTTTGGCCAGGCAGTGTGACTTAATTCTGATCTAAATAGTCCAATTTATGCAGATACAGATATATAAAGGGGGTGGGGTTGTTATAACTAAGTAATTGGGAAATACAAGATCATCTTTGTCTTGAGAAGCTGAACACTTTAGAAGCTTGTGGTCTATATATGCAAACAGTTTTTTAATCCTCACTCTTTTTGTAACCAGGAAGCCTGAGGCATAGCACTGTGAATGGTTTGCTTACGTTCTCCTACTTATTAATAGCAAAGTTTATAGAACTCAGAAGCAGTTGTACACCTGAAATTTATATGTTATTAATCAGTGTTACCCCAATAAATTAAAACTCAGAAGCAAAATGGTAAAAAACTAAGGAAGAAAAGTGGTGGTAGCCAAAGGCTGAGAATGAGAAATGTTTATTGTAGAGGGACCAAAGCTGATAGGACAAGCTCAATTGACTATAAATTATAGGGAAAAGTGTTATCTCTTTATAAGGGTAAAATGTCAAAAATCTCTTCCTCAGTGGTTCTCTAAATGTTTAGTCGGAGCAGAATCTCTGCTCTTTAGGCTTCTGTGATGCCTTATTTTTAAGGTTCAAAAAGGTACACTTCTGCTGTTTTTAAGACTTTCTTGTCTCAAATTCTGCTTCATTGAGAGATTGACTTATTCGTTTGCTTTGTGCTGCTGTGTGTCTGTCAAGCTGCCTTTAGAGAGAGGCTTCTCTTTTTCTCTCTCTAACGGTGCTAACTTTATATTTCATCAGAATGTTTCTGTCACAGAGCAGTCAAGCATCACTGTGAATTCGGAGTTTGTGGCCTTCCTAATCAATGGCATGTTTTTTTCTGGGGGGTGTGCCTTTCTAGAGTGTCCTGCCCTTCTTTGTAGCTACGAAAATGTCTAAAATCCGGAAACCATCTTTGACCGTACCCACTTCAGAGGCATATGTGAAGTCGGCGATGAAAACAGTGGGGTTGAAAACCCGAACCAATGGATACCCGATCCATTCTCTTATGGTAGGTAGATTTCTAAGTCCCAGATCAGCACTTAGGTTTTTTTTTTTCCCTCCATTGAGTCCCAAAATAATGTGCTAACATATATATATATATATATATATATATATATATATATATATATATATATATAGGCTAGACTTACTAATGAGTCATCCATGTTTTATTTTAAAACCCAAGAACTCTAAAATCTACCTATAAGTTAAAAAACAAAATTATAGTAAAACATAAGATCACATGTTTTAATTTAGCTCAAACTGTAGGCTGTAATTACATATCTCCCCATTTCTTTCCTAGGGTACAATTGTCTGCATGCTGCCTTCTTCATTGTATTTGAAACTGTCCATGTATAGGGGCAAGTCCATACGGGCTCGCTATCTGAAGAAAGCCAAGAAGAACTAAGCGTTGATAACTGCTCTGCGTAGCTCGGCCAGATGCTCCAGCCTCCACACGCTTCTCGCGGGCCACCCACGCAGCTCCCAAGTCTTCAGGCGTTTTAATAGTTACTAACAAGGCTGAATGTGGCCATAATCAGGAAGGAAGCAGGAGCTCCTGACATATATTCTGGATGCTACCAGCAGCAGTTATTGTGTAGTTTAATATAAATGCTCATATCAATTGGATGTAGAACTAATATTAACAAGAACAACTTAATGGGAAGGAGCACAAGTTCAGCAAATCACAGGATAGAGTCAGGCATAAGGCCCAACAGTTTCATCTGGCCCAAAGTGTCAATGACGACTCTTGTATCTTCTCTGAAACATACTTTAAAAAGTCATGGCCAGCTCCTCGTTCTTGTTTTTAACAGTTTGAGGGACTGGAGATGAATGGATTTACACGGGGAGGACACACTGCAGTTTGCATAGTTCTTTGTAAGCTTTTCTAAAGGCCTGTCCCCGTTTGTATGTTATATGGAACTATCTTTTTCCAAGCAGCTAATGACAAAAATAATTTGGAGATTTTTTTACATGTGAAACCTATAAAAATATGCTTTCCTCTAATATTTCTTCTCAGTTTAAATGTATGTAGCTACTTCAAGGTGTATGGTATGATTTACAAAGGTAAATGGGCCAAAATGTACACTGAGCCAGCCAGCCACCTGTGGTGCCACTAAAACCTGCCCAGGAAAGTGGCCTGGTGGACCCGAGGCCTGGTTTCTGTGCTTCAATAATACTGCTTACATATGTGACAGAGGCTGTTCCTAGAACAGCAATGACATCAGAGAAGTGGGCTTGAACTTTGAGATTAATACCCTATAAATACTGATATAACTAGTCTTAATGAAAGGTAATAGAACTGTGGTGTTGATTAACAGTATATTTCTTTGGTGCTTGAAATTAAGGCCATTGTTACACTGGCTTAATATAAATTAAGGCTTACTTTTATCCTGCTATATAACTTGTTTGGGGAAATTGCTAAGCAATAATTCAATGTTGTGAGACATGTCATCTAAAAAGGTAGACCTTTTCCTAGGCTGTGATTCCAAGGCTGAGTTTTAAGCATCAATAAATTAGCACAAAAATTTTTAATTGGGGTATTTAAGTGTTTCTAGATTTTAATTTTATCAGCTAAGGATATAAAAACAGAAAACCAAATTACCATCGTTATATAAAAGACATTTAATAGCATACAAAAAGTGGAAAGAACAATCTCAGAATAAGGAATACTCATTTAAATGGAATAAAGGCAGCTTTTTTGAAAAACATTGTCTTTTTCTTTCATTTTTTTGACACCACAATGACCTGGGCAATAGTTCATTTGCCTTCACACGCTGGTTGGTTGGTTGATGGTTATCATGTAGTTATTGCTGGAAAGTTGGCAGAGAGGGGAGGGATTGGCTTACAGGTATACAAAATATTTTTCCTTTTTCCCCAGTTGGAAAATTGTTATTTTCTGGCTAGGAAATCCCTTAGCAATCTCAAAACTTCTGAGCTACGGCTTTGATTTCTTCAACTTGGCGAAATTCCTCGTGTATTTGACACTCAAGGTTGAAGAGGATGAAATGAAAATCTATGTTTCCAGACACATGAAAGAAAAATTGTACTAAAAGAGAAACAAATATTCTCAAAACCTTCAACATGGTAAAGCATAAATTTGAGACTTATTCTCTACTGACTTGATTATCTGATATGTGCTGGGTAAGCTTTGAACCCAAAATGCACCGAGTAGGAGACAGTATTGGTTATTTATGTAGAGTACACTCTCCTTACAACATAGGAAGCAAATTTCAATTTATTGTTCTCTTGTTGCCCTTTCAGTGGAATAGCGTGGGGGGAATTATCCTGCACACATAATGGCGTGTGCCGTTCTGACCTGTCCTTGTGTCAGTCCCACGTACACTGGGAATAAATAAGTAAATGCTACGGGTGATATTATTAGTCTCCTTTTCCTCAAATGTGGTCCTGCCCTAAAGAGATGAATTCTGATTTCTCATTTGATATTTATTGCATTGGAATATAATAGAACTGAACTTCATACAGAGTGAACATTAATCCCGATACCAATACATATGGTGCTGATTCAATGTGGAGGAAAAGATTTATTGTGATAATACCTGGTGAGAATGAAATGAGCTTAAGTGGTACTATAATTCCCTCAGTCTGTTGACATAAAAAATTACCTGAGATTTAGGTGATTCTAGATTCTGCTACTTTGCTCTGTAGTTTTCCAGGGTCAAAACAAAGTATTGAAGCTTTTTTTATTGAATATGTTGGAAACTAAATTTTAAGGACTCATAACTTTGTGACATTCTAATATTTCTAGATTGGCATGTTTATGTCACTCATGCTGCAAAGCACATACATATAGACAGACTTTAAATTTCCTGTGGAAACGTAGATGTTCTTTCTACTGAGATGTGGATGAAGACATCTAGAAGTGGGACACGTGTCTAACATGAACACATATTACAATGTTGTCTACTCTCCTTGTATGCGTGTCATTGAAATATAAGCAACCTGGGTCCTACCAAAGGTGATCCTGAATGGATACAAGCAAGCTTGTCTTCCTTGTTACAAAAGCTTCCAGGCGTACCATGTGTGTGTTGATGGGAGTGTCAGTCACGTGCCATGGACTCTTCTGGATGCTGGAGAAACTGCAGCAAACACAGCAGACAAAACCTCTTGCCCGGACACTGCTTACATTTGAGCTGGGAGAAGGGGAGGGAGCAAAGGAGGGAAACAGAGGATAAGCAGAAAGAATAATATTAATGTAGCCTGAGTGCCACATGAAGCAGGGCTAGGAGGATGGGGAACCGGTATGTGTTGGGGTGAGAGGCTTGTGATTATAACGTACTTGGAGCAGGTTTCAGTGAGGGGTGGCCTTTGAATAGTCTTGAGCAAGCCATTCAGGGACCCGAGGGAAGGGCCTTTCAGGAAGGAGAGCGTGCCTGGTATGTTCCAAGAAGGGCTAGGCGTATGTACATATTGAAGTATATATTCGGTGATGTGTCTCCTGGAGATTTCAGAGAGCTTGCTTTAGTTTAATTATGACTTTCCAGAATTAAATCACCTTTCCATTCTTGGTCATGTTTCACCATCTTTGCACACTGTGGGATGCAGTTTGTTGGTATTTCATTTGGAATTTTTGCATTTATATTTTGGAAATTGTGTTTTTATATGAAGATTATAACTTCATTAAATGAGCTGGGAAGTGTTGCCTACTTCACTATTCTCTGGAAGGTTCTGTAAAAGAGCGGAACAATCTTTTCCTTGAAAGTAAATAAGAACAATCTGGCCCTACTATTTGTTCATGGGAAAAATTTTAATTACTGATTGTCTTAATGATAATAAGAATACTCAGGGTTTCTATTCTTTCAGTCAATTTAGAAAACAAAAGTTTTTTCTAAGCATTTAATTATTTCTTTCCGAATTTATTAGCATAAAGTAACTCAAGTTTTTAAGCCTCTGCTGGATATGTACTTATATTTCCTTTTCTAATATTGTTTGTGCTCCTCACTTTCTTTTCCTTACCATTTTGTCAGAAGTTTGTCTATTGTTGTTTTTTAAATATACATATTGATTTCAGAGAGGAAGGGAGAGGGAAAGATAGAAACATCAATGATGAGAGAGAATCATCTATTGGCTGCCTCCTATACGCCCCCTACTGGGGATCGAGCCCACAACCTGTGCATGTGCCCTGACTGGGAATTTAACCAAAATCAAACCATGATCTCCTGGTTCATAGGTCTACACTCAAACACTGAACCACATGGCTGGGCTACTTATTAGTGTGTTTTTTTGTTTTTTTTTTAAAGAACCAACTTTTGGCTTTGTTGATCCCCTCTGCTCTTTTCTTTTTATGTCCTGCTTTCTGTTATTTTTCTTATTCATAATTTGGGCATGTAATTCATTCATGCTCAGTTTTTTTCCTATTTTTACATTGATGTCTAAGACTCTAAATTTATTTGATGATCTTTTGCTATATCCCACAACTGTGTGTGTGTGCACACAAAAAAGCACATACACACATTCTTTTTCAGGGCTAATTAAAAATTTACATTATGATTTCCTTGAACTATGAATTATTTAGAAATGGTTTTTAGCAGCACAAAATTAAGTTTTTAAAAGCACGAATTTAAATTTTACAAATGTATTTTAAACAAAATTTGTATTGGTGTTTCCATTAATAAGAATTTCACACTATGTGCACTCTGATGGGATGGACTGAAGATACATCATTGATGTGGTATTCCTGCCACAATATATAACCTGAGCCTAACCAAGGCGAAATGTCAGAAAAAACTAAATTGAGGGATATTTCACAGAATAACCAGCCTATACTTACCAAACATTTCAAATTAAAGAAAACTAAAGAAATCTGAAAAGTAAACAATGATCTTGGGTTGAGAAAAAAAGTTTTTGTTGTTTTTTCTATTACTCCCTAGTTTTAGAAATTTTATGAGACTTACTTTATGGCCAGGTATAGACAAAATTCTAAGTGTACCATACGTGCTTAGAAAATATTTCTGTTAGAGGCCCAGTGCACAAAATTCCTGAAATGGGGCGGGGGGCGGTTCCCCTCAGCCCAGCCTGCGCCCTCTCGTAGTCCGGGATGTCCACCTGCCGGCTTTAGGCCCAATCCCCCCGGCCTAATTTCCTGATTTCTATGTTTTTGTGGCCTAGGATTTTGTTTTTAAACCCCATAAATTCCCTGTTTTCATTATTTTATACCATCATGCTGGTTTAAAATAAATTATACATTTACCAATTTGTTTATATACCTCTCGCATGTCAGATCTTCCTTCTGATGCATGTCACAGTTTAATTGAAACCGTTACTTTTTCTCTGTTGGTGCTATATTGAATGAGTAAAGGTGTGATTTAGAACTGATGGCATCTAACGGTTAATGAAATACCTCCTCAGTCATTGACTTCTGGCTTCCGTTGTTGGTGTTCAGAAGTCAGTGTCAGTACGGCATTCTTTTATAGGTAGAAATAACTCTGGCCACATTTAAGATTTCTTTGGCTTTGTGTTCCTTGGTATCATGACAGTGTATTTAAGTGTTTAAATTTAAGAATTTAAAAAATGTATTCTACTTGGTTTATACTATGCTTTCTGTGCGTAAGAATACATGTCTTTGGTCTTTTCTGAAAAATTCTCATTGCCTTCGAGTCTCTAGTTATAAATGTCCTATCTTCATTCTGTCTCATAACCTTTCTCAACTCTCGTTTCCCAAGCTGCATATTGTGCAATTTGTTTACATATACATTCTAGTTCCTTAATTCTCTCTTCATATATTTTTATCTCCTGTTAAAGCAAGTCACTGCTGTTTTCATTTTCACATGTTTTAGTCCAGCGGTCACCAACCGGTGGTCCGTGGACCACTGGTGGTCCATGAGGTCCGAAAGGTTGGTGACCGCTGTTTTAGTTGGGTTCTTGTTTCAATCTGCCTGGTCATTCTTGATAGTTTCATAATGCTTGCTCATTTTTCAAATTTAGTTTTAAAATTTTATGGAGGTATTGCACATGTGGGCATTTTATATTCCATGTCTGGTGATTCTCATAATCTGAAATTCTTAGGAGTCTAAATCTATTGGTTGTATTTCTCCAGACTCTCATTCAAAGTGGTTTATTTTCTTTTGTGTTGGTATTTTTTAAAAATATATATTTTATTGATGTTTTACAGAGAGGAGGGGAGAGGGATAGAGAGTTAGAAACATCGATGAGAGAGAAACATCAATCAGCTGCCTCCCGCACATCTCCCCACTGAGGATGTGCCCACAACCAAGGTACATGCCCTTGACTGGAACCGAACCTGGGATCCTTCAGTCCACAGGCCGATGCTCTATCCACTGAGCCAAACCGGTCAGGGCATTGTGTTGGCATTTTTATTTTGAAATCCTATTTGATTGATTTTAATCTGGAGAGAGTCCTGAGGGCTAAAATGGGATGTTCCTCTTCAGAGATAAATTTTTTGCTTCTGTCTGTTGGCAGCCTGGGAACTTTACCAACCCGGCACCACTCTCACTCCACTGGAGGTACCTGACTCCATGCAGGAGTCCCAGGCTCAGTTCTCACACCTTGTAATGATTCCGAGTCACTCTCCTGCTCCAAACGCTGGTCCTGTGTTTCCCCCAAGGAGCAACCACTGATTTCTTATTTTCTTACCGCTAACTGCTTCTAGCTCTGATTTCATTTTCTTACACTTTTTTCACCCCTTTGGTTTGGTTTATTGTTTTGCCCATGGAGATATTATTTTTTAT